CTCTCTCTCTCTCTCTCTCTCACACACACACACACAAACATGCTTTCATGTCTCTTCTGCTCACAACGGCTGCATTTATTTGATGAAAATACACTATTACAATTTAAAGAACTGTTTTCAATTTAATATTTTCAATATATTAATCTATTTTTGATCAAATAAATGCAGTAGGTGTAATTATTCTTATATTTTATAATTATATAAATATTATATACTACATAGCATAATATTGTATTTTTAATATAATATATTTTTCCCACATTCCAATGGGCTGCTGACAATTGATTTTCTTTAAGCAAAATGTAAATTCTTATTTCTTTCTTTCGTGTTTTTAGTGAGATATGATCTGAATATGCTCATGGTTTATTCAGTAGCGTGTTGTCTGTCCTCAGATGGAGTTCAACGAGAAGGAGCTGCGCAAGGAGATCAGCTACGCCATCAAGAACATCCACGGCATCAGGCACGTCTGTCCTTCAGTCCCGTTTCATGTGTCCCGCTCGATCGTCTGCGGTCAAGCCGCGCGTCATACGTCACACATCTAATCACAAGCGGCTTTGACTCTGTTCAGGGTCATCTCATCTGATCAGAGGAACATGAGGACGGGTCTGTGATCAGACTGGTGACCATCCGTCTCCTCGCTCTTTAGCTTGCTTTCTCCTCTTTAGGCCAAGAAACGTGATGCTTGGGCTTCGAGAGCTAACATGAGGCTTGTGTTTTGTGAGATTATGTCTCAGTTCAGACGAGAGGACTCCGCTGAAGTCTGCTGTTATATGAACAATGCAGAGTTTTGCTTTTAAATAGCAAAGCATTTGGTTAGTCATTGCTAATAGATTAAAATAATGAATCAAGGTTAAATATTTTTATATAGTTGATATGACTAATCATATATATTAAATCAGGTGTGAATGTTTTTTTTTTCTTTTAGAATTTTATTTAATTTTATATTATTAATATTATATATATATATTTTATTTAATGCATTTTGTTTTGATGCAAACAAAATATGTAACAAAAATGATAATTTTACAACAAGGTCCCATTAGTAAACATTAGTTAACTAACATTAACAGATTAAACTTAAATTTACAGTAGAAAACGTATATTTAATTAACTGAAATAATGTTAATGTACCATATTACTAAAATAAAATACTAAAATATTTTACTTTCTTTTTTGACAGCCACCTTGTGGCAAAAACAAATGGTGTAGAAACAATTTTCACTCAGAAATTGCTGGTAAATTTCACTAAAAATACAAAGAAATGGCAAGTAACACATTGAATTAAACTTGAAATTTTGAAGTAGAACAAATGAAATAGTATTTTCAGTTAGTATAGTATAGTATATTAAAAAACACTCCAATAATCTGTTTTATCTACAAATGATAATTTTCATGTCTAATTCAGTATTTTACTTGCAGTTTCTTTATAATTCAATATTATTAATTATAGTTGTTTCTTTATAATTTAAATTTACTTGCATTATTTTGAGTGAAAATTATTTCTGAAATGGCCTCTGAATGTTTTTTTCTTTTAGAATTTTATTTGATTTAATATTAATTATTAATATTATACATTTTTATTTAATGCATTTTGTTTTGATGCAAACAAAATAATAACTTCACAATAAAGTTCCATTAGTAAACATTAGTTTACAATAAATGTTGTTAATTAAATTAATAAAAAAAATATTTTTAATTGTTAGTTCATGTTAATTAATGCAATTAACTAATGTTAACAAATGGGATCTTACTGTAAAGTGTTACTAATTTTTGTTACATATTAAGATTTTCAATTTTTGCTCAATTAAATATATATTAGGGGTGGGTGAAGACGGCGCTCACAGAGCATGCGAGTATTGAACCGAGTTATTTTTGCCGCTTTATAGGCCGTGAACGGTTAAATGCACACACTTGTATGTGTCAAAACGCCCGTCGTTGCAAGTATCCTCATAAACACAGTCATTTGGGTCTAAAGTGAAAGCAAACAGCTGAGAAAGAAAACACACGTGTTACAGTATATTGGATCCGTGTAGCTCTTAAAGTGACAGCAGTCTAATATTCCTGCTGTCTGTCATTCACGTTAATCGAACAACAAAAGAGAGAAAATCTCTCACTGCTCTTGACTAAATCACTTTTCTAACTTTCTAAAAGAAGAAATATACATTTAATTTACACAGTGAAGAATATGCAGTGTTTTTATACATTTGATTAGTTTATACAATGTTTGTAGCATTTCTTATTTATTTGTTCTACTGTAGTTTTTTAAAAAAGGCATAAAAAGTTAACGATGCGATGCATGGTTTAAAAAGTGTGCATCGGCTACAAGTCGGCATTTGTATCGCGATGCATCGTTTCTAACATATTTGCATCGGTTAAAACCGATTTATTTATATATAATTACTAGTGGATGCACTATACTTTTATTATTTAGAAAGTGACCAATAATCTGTGATCTATGTATTTGATGGTCAAGTGCGTTCTCTCATCACCGCTGCTGCGCGTGAATATGACGAATCACAACACCACGGAGACCCGAGAAACAACTGGGATTAAAGTCCAAAACCTGACTTGAAATAACCTAACAAATCACTCGGGGCTAAAGCGGTTCCATAAACGACAAATTAAGTTCACACAATCTCACTAATTTGTGCACGCTTATTCTTAAGCAGCCGTTAATGTCGATCATGGATTAAATCGATCCTCCATGACAAACAGCGAATATATCTGTGCTGTTTAATGCATTTGAGACGTTGTGTTTTCCTCACTGCATAACTGACATGTCACATGTATATTTTTAATCTGTAAATGTTAGAAAGTCATGCAAATATATCCATTTTGCTGTCAGGAGTGAACGAGCATGCGTGCTAAACAGACGGCGCGCAATCGAATAGGAGCGCAATAATTCTGAGTAAAATATACATTTTGCTAAAA